CATTTTTCCAGTTTTGCAGCTGTAATGTATCTTTATTCAATTATTTTAAATCTCATCATTTGTTGTCTTTTATTCTTGTTCAATGAGCTTGTTTGGGGATTGTTCACCCAAAAATTAAAATTCTGTCTTCATTTACTCTCCCCAACTGGTCATAGATTATGTGCAAATTATAAAATGATGACAAAATGGCCAAATCAAAATTATATTGGATATAAACCGATGTGGCTCTTTTGACTTATAGTAAATTAATATGCAATCACCCAGAAAAGCCTAGCAACAACAAGAAATTAAGTGCGACTTGTTGTAAAAAATCTAACACAACAACCAGGACACAACCTCAAAGAAGAGGCCTCACCCCTCACCAATTTATGCATATTGTTGTCTGCAATACTATCTTGCATCCAGAAATATCCCTGAGTGCCATAATAAGACTATACTATTCTAAAACCCAATAATAGAAGATAATAAATTGAGACCAGTGAGATATTATTAGCTCATCATGTATAGGATACAAACAGAATATCTTGGAGTATATACATACTGTATACTATGTCCACTATGCTGCACAATGTCCTCAATCTGAACTGAATGTTCAGTGTCCGCTATGATCTCCTGATACTGAACTACTAGTGAAGAACATTTTAGCATTCATTATTTTCTTTTTCTTTTTGTTAAACCTAAAATAAGCTTCACCTGTCAACACCATGTAAAAAGCACCCAACTTTCCCTTAATGATTATGTGATGCATTTTGTAGTCCACCACAGATTGTAATTTTTGCATCATACCCCCATTGTTGTAGACGGGGGCACTTTTGTAACCCGTGAAAAGAACACCTACACGGAAACAACATCGATAACTGCAGCACGAAGAAAGAGCAACAGATAAACAACTGATCATTTGAATCATCCACTGAATCAACGTCTGAATCACTGATTGACTGACTCATGTTGTTTCATTTAGATCGTCTGTCAACCACGACACCAAGTGCACAGCAGTTTGAGAATAGACCTCAAAGTAGGTGTTGAAAGGTTATAGTGGGTGGAGCTAATGCATTCCCATAGTGCCATGAAAGCACCAGTTGTCATTCAAGACATGGCGGTGAGACCATAGGGCTGTAAACAGGCGTGCTGCTTATTATAGCACAGGGCATCACTAGGGAGACAGTTGACTGGCCATGGTTGAAACGATACACCTAAATTTAGAGGAGCTCTTAATTTTGGCGACTATAAGAAAGCACACTTGCAATGCAAATGAAAGTTTAAGACAAAGAAGCTCTGAAGTTCACCTTTCTCATGGGATTACAAAATCAAAATTTATTTTTAATGCAAATTGCTTGACTTACTTGTGCATTATTCATCCCAAATAACAAAAAACTTTTTCTGAAACGATTTTTCTTGTTGTCTGACATCACCAGCCTCTCTTACTTTTTAGCCACTCCCTCAAACCACAGTTACATTCTTTTGCATTAATGAAAGAATCAGTAAGAATGTGTTAAAAAACTACATAATAGTACATACATACATAATATAAAATGAGTTTTCCAGCAAAAACATGTTTTATTTGTGGCTACATTATAACTGTATAATTCCCAGCTTGTTGCAAAAAGACATAGCCTAGGCTAACACATAAAAACATTATCAAAAATATAAATTGATCATTCTTTTATGGTGTAGGCAGTGAAAATGTTATTAGTGAAAGTAAAAAAGTAAAAATCTGATTTACTGGCCCAACTGATAAGCCACCAGAAAACAAAAATCTATGGATAAAAATAAATGTTTAATAGCCAAGAAATACAATAGATTACCAAAGTCCTAAGGGTTGCTCCCATTGTACTTTGTGTTTCACATTGACTATTACTCAGGGCCTTTTTTCGCATAACCATTTATTGGCAACATTTTCCGGTGGCAAATGACAGCATGGCCTTGCATGACAATTCCAGTCTGTTTGGCTAAATCCATTAGCTATTTCTGACATATAACTCAGATGGCACTTGTATACCCAATACGCCATTCATATTCGCTACCGTTAATGTAGCATTGTTTGCATGTCCCATTACTTACAAAAAATATTGATATTGCTTCTTTGTTATTTAGGAAGTTTGCCAGAGATCTTTATATGTGGGTTATCCCAGGGAAATTAATGATATAATATCTAAAACATATAAAGAGTGTAGGTGGTGAACCGAGAGGACGGGGGCATGTCAAAGTCATGCCATTGATTTCTATATCAGCACCCCAAATTCAATACATTTATGTAATGTTTCGGCTTCAGTGTTGATAGTTTCTGTCTCTGATTTCAAAGATACTGTTCTTTGCCTTTGTTTGAAGTGATTGACACAACACAAACTACTATTATGGTCTACATTTCTGCAACGCAGATTAAACAGACCACAGAACAAAGCCGTTTCAATTGTCTGAATTCTTAGCAGGGGTTTTCTTTATCACAAAGTCAACTGTTTAAAGTTGCATTTAAATTATTTTCTCTTTATTCTCTAGGACTGTTTTACGGTCACATGTTTTCAGTCAGATAAAAGCTCGGACGGGCAGCCACCAGTCGGTCATCAAATCTGCCGTCCATCTAATCCATAATGATTCAGCAGGATGTTGCAAGGCTTTTTCCATTACATAACACAGGTATAATTAATTAAAAACCTCCTCAGGGAGTATCGACTTATAATGATTCGATCCCAGTTCAGCAAGTTTAGAAGATCAGCTCAGCTTATCCGGTAAATTCGTCATAGCTTGCAAAATCTGCAAAGAAATGTTCCAACACTGGTGAGGGAACTCATTTGGCCTCAATCATAAAGTACTTAAAAGGTGCACCAACTATTTTTTGACCGACGTCAGAACATTTCTTTGTAGAGTCTGCAAATTTGAAAGCGTCTGCTGTAACAAAACACATCCACACATGTCAGACACCTCCCGGTTGAATATTTTACAGAATGTCTTGCAGCTATTCCACTTTTAAACAAACTACCGGTAAGTAACCAGTGGAGAATGCACACAATTGCACAGACAGATGTGTAGACCCGTACAATAATTGTGCAAACCCTGATGCTATAGATTGTGTTGCATAATCAGAACACATGCTGTACATGATGTGTTACAGCATATGCGGATGAGTGTCAGGTTCCCTTAAGGACAATTAGACATGTCAGCACTCTATTCTACACTAGTGTTGAAGAGTAAACAACTATGACACATGCTAAAACACCTAGCATGTTTTATTAAAGGAGAAGGTTCTACTCTTTTGACATTTTTTGTCTAGTCCTAGTCAAAAGATCCTAAAGGAATTGTATTGGATTTTACTCATACAATGGAACAAAGGCACCCTGGGAATTTTCTTATAGGATTCCAACAAAACACAAAACAAAGTATATTTAGAAAATGATAATGGTAACTTTAAAAAAAGTTATGTCGGTTAATATTAGTTAATGCTTCAATGTTACATCAACTAACAACAGACAACATTTTTACAGCATTTATTAATCTTGGTTAATGTTAATTTATGCATGACTATTGTTTTTGTTTTTTTTATGAATTACTATTGGTAATTCAAGTTTGTTCATAATCCAGTAACTGATGTGAATTTATACAGCTTCAAAAAGGCATTAGTACACTAACATTCAAATATTCAGGGTCAGTAATATTTTTTTAAAGAAATGAATACTTAAATCACACGATACACTTTATCATAAAGTTTCATTTGTTAACATCAGTTAACTACATTAGTTACCATGAACTAACAACGAAAAACACTTCTACAGCATTTATTAATCTCAGTTAATGTTAATTTCTACATTTACAAATACATTATTAAAATCAAAAGTTGTATATGTTAACATTTGTTAATGCTCTGTGAACTAACATGAACATTTTTAACTAACATTAACAAAGTTAGTAAAAATGCTGTAAATGTATATTGCTCATTGTTAGTTCATGTTAGTTAATGCGTTAACTAATGTGAACAAATAAGACATTATAAGTGTCACTGATTTGTTTAAGTTGCCAGGATATGACGAAAACAATGGGAACATAATTCAAATAAAACAAAGTATGAATATAAAGGCTCCACTTCCTAACTCTGTACAATAATGAAAAATATAAAATTGTTATTTAAATGGGAAAACTTCTGTTGCCCTAAATCAACAGAGAAATGCCTTAATAAATTTTAAACATATACAAAGGGATCCCTTCTACAAATAAAGAGGTGAATGGATCTAAAATAATGGCGTATCTATCTATTTGAACAGGTGACAGATAAACAGGGCCAGTGCGAGGCAAAAGAAGCGCTTGCACACCCACACACTGTTATATAGTCATTCCTCTGTGTTGATTCAAGCGCAGGTGAGAGATGGCCAAACCTCGCAAAGCTCTGACGGGAATGTTGACGTCACTTCTGACAAGGACGAGAGACAAGTTTGCTCTGCCAATATAAGGCTAAGAGCCTCTCGAACTCTGGGGAGCAAAATTATATTATTTTCAAATCTGACAACATAAAAAAAAAACTGCTTCAAGTTCAAATTCACAGTGGTCATTTGCAACTGCCACAACACATTTGCGTCTAATACTGGGTTAAATACTTTCAGGAGCATTCGAAACCACATGTTGACCATATTAACTTAACTATCTTAACCTAATATCCTCAACAGATTAACCAGCCAAAGAGAATGCAATGAAAAAAAAATAGCAAAAGAGTGACATTGGTCATGGTACTGTGTAAAGGAAAAGCAGCCACCTTTGTTTCAGGTTTACACCATGACCCTCATGGTTTTACCCAAACATAGCTTGACCCAGACAAAACAAAGTCAAGGTGTAGCCACAGCACGTCTGTTGTGCTATCAAAGAAACATCAACACCTTTGACTTCAATGCATCTTCAAATGAGAGCAAAGCAAACACATTTCTACCTGCCACCCGAAACCAATACACTTATCTTCAAGCATGCTTGCATTTGTGTATCTGTATTTCTCTAGCCCGTTATCTCTCTCTCTAACTCACCAGTGCTAGGCATGCTGGTGCTTCTGGATTGAGGAAGCAGCTCCACGGGTCGCTCTCTGCTGGACGTGCTGTCTGAAGAAAAGCAGGATTCGGTCTCATAGATCGTCTGCAACATCGCGCACAGTCCCGGTACGGTTGGCTTCAAAAGCATGCCAGTCTCAAAATACCGCCACACAATAAATGCAAAAATAAAGCAAAATCAACATGAAAAAGGAGATGGCAACCCACTCTCCATCAAAAAAAGTGAAAAATGCAAACACATTTGAAGGAAGAGGGGAAAAGGCAGTGCGTCCTTTTTTATCAAAATGTACATGCATGCAAAGAATCATCAATCGCTTTGCCCTTTAGCTCCATGGTTTAATAAAAAATAAATCAAATAAAAAATGCAAGCAGAAGCCGTCTCTGTGGAAGGAAATGCCGTAGACAAATCCTTAAATTGTCCACTCAGAACCATCAGCTGTACGACACACAAACGAGTCTATTCATAAACCACATCACCTTCTTGTCTAATTGTCTATGTCAGAAACAAACTGCTAATTCACGCCGACAAGTCCGAGTGTGGCTTGTATCCAAGTCCCCCCTGTCTGAGCGTGCAGCCTGTATCCTGCAATCATCTGAAGTTAGGCATGTGGTATCGGCAGACTCCAAAAGAGAGACTTCCCCATGACGAAATGCGACGGAGCTTGGAAAGCCGAGATGAAAGCGACCGAAACAGGAGAGATGATCACAAAATAGATCACTGGGGGATTTGATGCCTGCCGGTCTCTCTGTTCCTTCCTTCCCCTCGCCTCTCTGTACAGCCAGCCAGTCCTCGCTACAGCACAGTACAACTCGCTCTCCTGATGAATGGGCTTAAAGTGGACCGTCCGACGTTGTTCTGTTTAGTGTGACTGTGTTGCTTTTATGTAGCCTATTTGTTTAAAGCCGAATCTCTGCAGCTTCGCCCGCTGTGCGTGGCGAACGGGAGAGCAGAGGTGTAGAGACGTGGAGTTTACAAACAGACTGGAGCTGCTTCAGGCTGCTGGAAATAGCTGCCGAGCGACAGGGGAGGGGCGGGACCGTGCTATAAATAGAGTCGGGAGCTGAGAGCTTACTTGGAGAAAGGGAGAGGAGGGGCGAGAGAGAGAGACGGAAGATGGAAGAGAGGGGATGGTTGATTGTTTATCACGTAAATAAAGGAGCCAAAAAAAATAATAGGAGCCAAAAAAGGAGCCAATCTGACACAAGACCGTGACAGGACTGGAGGAGTGAGACCAAACAGAGTTTAACTTGATAATACAAGCCAACACGAGGGCAAACGAGATACAAAGCAACACGAGCGCTGCTTAATTTGTGCCAATGCACGCTATTATGATTGGAACTAATTCACGCATTTGAAACGCAAGCATTTAAATCTAAGCTCTGAGAACTGCTTGCTGTTTACACAAGGAATTTGCGTCAGCACTATTGACACAGAGAACACAAGGGTCACCGTTTCACAAGCGCATGTGGGTCAAAAGACTAGGGTGGCCAATACAGCGTTACCAAACCTGCGAGGGCACTATATTATTTATCATTCAAATCAACAGCAGCAACTTACAAAGCACATATATGGTAAATTAGCCATTTATTAAAACAAGAGAATAATTAGAAAAAATTGTGTTTAAACTGTATTGAGATTTTTTTTTTTTTTATATCTGTTGAAAAGCACATTTTCCAATAGATAATGGTGACCTACATGAGCATTACAATGTTTAAAGAGACCAGAATGATGTCTGGAGGTGAATTTAAATCAGTAATGTACTAAATATTTTTGACGTGAGGACAGCAAAATGCATCTATTGTGAAATGCGCCATTGATTTCATGTCCTCCTGAATGATATATGACAAGGTTATCGGGCATCTGCGTTCTGCATCAGTTTAGAGACCCATCGCCTACTGTTCATTGCATTTATTATACAAGACAGACAGACCTGTTGCACAAGCACAAAGCCCCAGAAAAGATGTGTCAAGACTAAAAAAGGAAGATAAAACGAATTGAGAAGGAAGATAAAACAAATCACTGTTTCACAGTTTTCTTACAATGACAGCTAAACATTTGTTTCATGCAAGGAAAGTTGGTCGCAGACCAATATTAAAGGGTAAGATTTATCCAGAGCGCCTAAATTAGACCTCTGACGTGCTTTTCTTAGAGCAGTCTGTCACCATGACCACTAGTGTGTTGGAGGGTGAAAATGGATTTGGCTCAAGAGCAGGCAACAATCAAAGAGAAGCTTTGTCAAGCACTTGTTTGAAAAAAGGACATGTTAAAAAAACAACATGGAACAGAAGTGCACGTACCCAGCATCGACTATCATTGCCTGGCCATAAGGGCGGGATCTGAGAGGGCAAATACAGGCTGCGCACGTGTGTGTGTGTGTGTGTGTTTACGCTGGCGAAATCAAAGCAGTCAACTTTCAATGTTTTGGCACCCATTGCAGGGCCAACACATAATTTGATCTGATTCTGTAAATAGAAGCAAGTTTTCGACAGCATGCATCATGATCAGTGTGTGCGTATGCAATGCATGCTTGCATCTTGCAAATCGCTTAGACTTTGCACTTGTTGCTCTTTAGGCATGCCTAACTGCTATCTGTCCCACAGCTGCACGCACGTTGAAGATTTTACGTGGTCCTTTTAACTTCAGTCTCGTCTGTTTGCTTTAGTTTCCAGCCGCCCCTGTTATTTATAGGTTGATGTACCTTTTAGGCTTACTGACGTTAGTTGGGCTTATATTTAGCCTTGGGAAGGTGGGGGGGAGCGCACCACTTGTTTTTAAGCCCATTTTTTTACGAGTGATGAACTCATGTTGGTAATGTCAAGGACTTGGGCAGCAGACTTTGTTTGACAGCTAGTCTCTCGCCTTTAGCCAGACCTGACCCAATTAAGGCCAACCCAAAGCGAGCCGTAACCTTTTGCCACTGGGTTCTGAAGGAATCTTGGACGCTGGAGAAGAATGGTAAATAAATGTGGCCGTTCCTCACTGTGGCTGCGGACAGATGGGCTAAATATGCGTTGAAGCTTTGGGAGCATGTGAACTCTCTCTCCCACCCTAAATAACATGGACTATATTAACTCACACTTATGAGCCCACAAAAATAGTCTCGGTTTGGATGGGATTAATTAAAACAAAGCCAAAAAAAACACAGTGGTTTCTCACACAGATAACCAACTCTCTTACTGGGGACTCTCCTGTGACCGCTGCCATGTTAGGAAAATGTATTTTAAGTATGCTTTCATTTTTTAAATCTTTTTTTGTTTGTTTTCAAATGTAAACTATTGAACCTTTTTATTTGACAAAAAACTGCAGAGCTCTTTAAAGCTTCTCTTACTGATAACAAATTTATAAATGACTCTCATTACAAATTTGGGAAGATGGTTGGCACATGTTGCGTTTTCAAATGCACGACCCGAACTCACAGCGTCAGCCAACTGGCGAGTATTTTTTTTACAGTATACTCGCCAACATCGATTTCTACTCACATACGGCACTTGGCGGGTGTTAATTTTGGACCCTGGCTGAGATGTTAAGGGAGTCCCACACAGTCACTAGATGGCACTGCTAGCTTGTGCTGTGGAATCGGGAAGCTACAGTCTCCATGCATGAAATGAAAATATTTTAAATGTGTTACAAAATGCAGCTATTTTTCGCCTTGGATTCACATTCTTGAATTCACGTGGGACACACTTTTCTTAGGTTGGAAAATATGGATATCTGTATAAATATAGACAAAAAATCACATCCCCGATGTAGAGACCAAAATATCATATAGACCATCTAGCAATGGCATAGCTATGTGCTCATCACTCAGATCACCTTAGCAACAACCCATAACACCCTAACATTTTTTTTTTGTGCATTTTATTTTTGACAAGTAACATGTCGCTGCACCTGAATCCGACCCAGTCGCTCAAAGAACTCGGCTTGTGCTGTGTGATCCATTTCACTGCAAGTCGATCCAACACAGAACAGAAGAGTCCATGGCCTTTTTATATCGCCTGAACAACAACAACCAACCATGAGCAATTTGTTACCTGTCTTTATTTTGAGCAAAGAGAATTTCTCAGGTGTGCACTATCTATTTTGAAAGTGCTGTCAAGTCCAAAAACAAACCCAATAAAAGAAATGAAATGGAATCACCTGGAAGGAATGAGAAATTAGCTCCAGTTTGCAAAACTGTTTCTTAAATGTCCTCGTTTGAGCGACTGCCAGACATTCCTGTGAGGGAAAGGCAAAGAGAATTAGCTTTCAGTTCTGCTCTGCAATGGGAAAGGACATGCACACACACACACAAGCCAAAAAATCCGGCTGAGCAAATGCGGTCAAACATGTCAATAAACTGCCCATGAAAGCTTGATATGAAGCCCGTATACATTTACAGCGAGAAAAACAACCTTTTTTAGAATCATCATTTGATGACTCATATCAAGGCATAGACTGATGCACTTACACCCAAAGTGAGGATTCACACACATACACACACACACACACAGCACAGGGGATGCATACAGATTATTTCTCCTCAAATAGAACGCTGCGATGACTCATTCTCTGCACAGCCCCAACTGCAATGCTCCTCCCTGCCAGAGAACACGCACACGTTCACATACACACTTGTGTGTATTTATTCCACCGATTCAAATATTAACACATGCAGAAAATGACAAGATCCTCTGTGTTGGAGGAAGGCCTCCTGCGGTATTCCAGAAAAATCAATGTTTCAAACAGGCTGACTCATTTAAAGCGGTGCTTACTGACCCGTGTCTCGCTCACTTTTCAGATAACAAACCGGTCCAATTATAATGGGAGTTGAGCTGCAACTGCAAACAGAAGTTAATAAAAATTATGCATGAAGAACAGCGCATGCACATTCAACGCAATGTTTATTTAATGTGTGCAATTTCTTCTGGAAAATGCTATGTTTAGAGCTTTTGGTTAAATGTGATGTGTTGCTAAAATGAATGTAAGAGCATTATTACGCAAATGCTTTCACCACTCTTTAATATCAGATCTATCAAAAAATGTTCTCAATTTTTCAACAAAAAAAAAGCAGATTATAACAATTCGACTCTGACCAGATCTGCATATTACACACTTAAAGGAGTACTTCATCACTTGCAAAATGGGCTTTCAATAAAACTTGTCTGCCTATACAGTAGAAAGGAGGTTTTTTTTTTATCCGGTACCCTTACAATAACCGTTTTGTTAATAACCATCTTCCGATCCGACTGTCTGTGGGCAGGGACAAAAAAAAAGCAGAAGTAAAATCTGAAGAAAAAATCAGCCAAGTTATACTTTAAACATAAAAAAAAACAATCAGTAAAAAAAAAACAATATTGGGTCATCGCTGTAAATTTTGTTTTATGTTTGTGAATACACAAATACTAGGCTATATTTTACATATAACTCTAGATTTTCCACATGATGCACTCTTTTTAAACAGATATAACAGCGATTAGGGGTGTAAATATTAATCGATTCGTATCGATCCATCGATTATACAGCCGACGATTCAATGCATCGATGCGTCCGCAAGAGTATCGATTAATGTGTTTATTTTGCCGCCTGTCTATTTTCAGCATCAGCTCGACATATGCGTACAACCTATTCCTAAGCTGCGGGTGGCGCTAACCTCATTATTCTCTTCTACTTCACACGCGTTAGTCTATCTATGTTCACACACATTGTTGAGTCTGACTTTCAAGAGCGATGGAATCGTCAGAGCGAGCTG